TCAGGATTCCGTAACACGATACAACGACAATTTACGATAAAAGTTCTCGTAAAACTATAGAAGAAAAAAAACTTAACTAGCGTCAAATTACCATAATTCGAAGAATTTTTTAGGAAAAAAATAAATGAAGAATTTAACTTGTGTAAAGTATTATATGACTCCTGTAATGGAATTCTCCAAAGGTGAGGGTAGATAAACAACTTGGCATTATGGCCAGGCATATTAATATCAAATTATAAGGGGAAACGACGGCAGAATTCGATTTCTGATCTGGCATTCCTTTATGATATGTCACCAAATATGCCATGTGAAGACTTCAAGCTGCTTATGTAGCCACAGCTTAACTCAGCTCTTGAGTCGGTAAAATTGAAATGCCACAAATTTCGGAAATTAAGGGTAAGTTAGCAGCGACATCAAAGTAGTCGCTGAGACCTACCGATACCTAACTTATCAACTTCAACTTTTATTTTATATCAACATTTTTGGTTTTAAAGTTACCGATTTTTGACGGTATTTTCGTATAGCCCCCCCATATAACAGTACCTCCTGATGTTCCATATTTTGATGATTTTAGGGACATTATTCACCGGAATTATTTAAAAATTTGGTATTTGAATTTCCTAATGGGTACTATGCCCTGTGACGGAAAGTTGACTTTGCGGGTCCGGGTCTTCGTATAGCCCCATATTACGGTACATCCCGATATTCGTTATTTTGATGATTGTAGTCAAATTTTTCAATGGAATTATCTGAAAATCGACACAGAAAGTTCCGTCTGAGTACTTTACCCCCTGAAAGAGTATTGTCTATATAGGTTCACGATATCGTACAGGCCTCATATAATGGTACCTCCCTACGTTCCGTATTTTGATGATTTTAGCAATATTATTCACCGGAATTGTTTCGAATTTGATTTTTGAAATTCGTACTGAATAGTACAGCCTTTGACAGAAAGTTGTCTGTCCACGGCTTCGTATAGCCCTTATATAACGGCACCTCCCGATATTCGATATTTTTATGATTGTAGCCAACATTTCCAATGGAATTGTTTCAAATTTTGTATTTGAAGTTCCTAATGGGTACTACAGCCTGTGACGGAAAATTTTCTATCCAGATCCACGCCTTGGTATAGCCCCCATATAACGGTACCTTCCGATATTCCGTATTTTGATGATTGTAGCCAAAGTTTTTAATGGAAGTATCTGAAAATCCACACAGGGAGTTCCTTCTGAGTACTTTACCCCCTGGTAGAGTATTGTCTTTATAGGTACACGATATCGTATAGGCCCCATATAATGATACCTCCCTATATTTCGGATTTTGATGATTTAAGCGACATTATTCATCGGAAATATTTCAAATTTGGTATTTGAAGTTCATAATGGATACTACAACCCATGACAGAAAATTGCCTATGCAGGTCCACCTTTTCGAATAGCCTCCATATAACGGTAACCCCGATATTCGGTATTTTCGTGATTTTAGCTACATTATTCACCGGAATTGTTTCAAATTTCGTGTTTGAAGTTCGTAATGGATACTACAGCATGTGACAGAAAATTGTCCATGCAGGGTCAGGTCTTTGTATAGCCCCCATATAAGGGTATCTCCCTACAATTTTAGCGACTTTATTCACCGAAATTTTTTCAAATTGAATATCGTGTTTGAATATTGTAATGGCCTATGACAAAAGTTGTCTATATTGGTCCACTTCTTTGTATAGACCCCAATATAACGGCGACTAGGGTTTTAACAGAATTTTAACAAATTTTGATTTGTTTGAACATTTCAAAATTCGTTCCAACCGGTTGAGGGTATTCAAAGTTGGGTCCGGCCGAACTTACAGCTATTTTACTTGTTATGTTCTATCACCTTTAAGGTGAGAAAACACCTATTTTGCTATATATATTATAAGTCAATTAAAAAAACCTTTTATGTATTCTTACCTTTACATTTTTGTTTATTCTAGATTTTTAAGACTGCCTCTTCCGAGCACATATTTAACTCAAATATGATTTTCCAAAAACTATATTCTTTTTTAATGTTTTGCATTTCAATTTTATTCTTAAGTTTCTTCCTTAACTTAAATAACACTCCATTAACCTTCATTACCCACTTTTTTCCATTTCATACTTGTTTCTCTTTGTATTACAAATGCAAAATAGCCATGAAAGCAAAAAACGAAATTGTTATTATGAACTCCCACCATATTCAATTTACAATTGAAATCCAATGTAATAAGTGATTATTATCTGCAGAAAATTAAATAAAATTCCAATGATGAAGCTTCACTCTTGTCTTTCGTTACCTTTGAAATATAGCGCAGCATTTTACCATTTAATTTTGAAAATTTATTATCAAATTCTAGCAAGATTTTAAAAATTTGTTTTGGAAATTGATAACCAACCAAGCAAGTCAAGGGACTTTTGCTCATGAATTATTAATAATCGTTCCCCCTTTGAATTTCAACAAATATGAATAGTAAATTTATTCAATGTTTTTTTTAAAGAAAATTTAAGTATTCTAATTCTATTAAAAATTCTGCCCATATTAAACGAAAATACAAAGAAAAAGTTAATTCAACTCATAGCTGTTGATGTGGTTACTTTGTTTGCTGTTTAAGCACTGTACCATTATTGACGCCTAAGAGTATGTTAAGGTTTTTTTGCATTTCACAGATTAACGGCGCTGTGGTTTAGCGTTCACACATTTAAAGTTAATGGGTGGCTGTCAAACAACTCTAGATTTAATTTTCTCTGAGAAAAAAAATGAAAATTCTTTGTGTTTTTGAAAAAGAATATTCAGTGAATTTTTTCGATATTGAAAAAATCATGTTTTTTTATAAAAAAGCAATTTATGAGATATCTATAAAATACATGAATGTTAGCAAATTTGTCTATAGATAAACTCGTTTAAAGGGAAACCAGTAAGGAACGGCCAAAAATCGGGCGGGGCCGACTATATGATACCCTACACCACTATGTGTATTTAGTACAGCTCAAGCTATTAAAAAGGTTTACATTGGGAATTGTTGTGAAGTAAATCATATCAATCCGTAAAACCGGATGAAGATATATATCGAAGCTATATAAAAATCTGAACCGATTTCAATCTCGACAAAATTTGACAGATGTATTTTCGAGCAGTAGCTGATGTCTGATACCAAATATCATTGTTGTGGAGGCCATATTACGCATGTGAGGGACCTTAAACCCCAAATCGGATGAAACCGATATATGGTAGCTATAGCTATATCTGAACCGATTTTCACCAAATTTGATGTGCTCACTTCTAGACTGCATTCGGTGGGATGTACCAAAATTTAGGTCATTTGGCCTGATATTAGCCATTTGGTGCACAATTAACCCGAAATCGGTAGAAGATATATATGAGAGCTATAGCTATATCTGAACCGATTTACACCAAATTTGATGTACTCACTTCTAGACTGAATTCGTTGGGATGTACCAAAATTCAGGTCATTTGGACAGATATTGGCCATTTGGTGCACAATTAACCCGTAATCGGTTGAAGATATATATGGGAGCTATATCTAAATCTGATCCGATTCTCATCAATTTCAATTGGGTTTGTCCTTGGGCCAAACAAATGTTGTTTACAAAATTTAATCTCTATCGGATAATAAACGCGACCTGCATTTTGTTGACAAGACTACATGGACAGATGGACGGACGGACTGACATCCATAAATCGACTCAGAAAGTGATTCTATGAAGATTCTCAAAGGTATCGATGGGTCTATCGCGCTTCCTTCTCCGTGTTACAAACAAAGCAACAAAGACATAATACCCTTACCACATTCGATAGCCTCTTTGAGTCGTCCGCGCACAGCACAGCTATCTGCGACAAGATTAGAAGTAGGAACAAGGTCCTCAATTCTCTGGCCGGCAGTACTTTGGGAGCTGATAAGGAAACCATATTGACCTCTTACAACGCGATAGACCGGTCTATGGTAAACTATGTTGCTCCGGTGTGGTCCGCCAACGTCAGAGCTACGCAGTGGAAAAATATTCAGTCCAGCCAGAATGCCGCCGCTTAGAACCGCAAAAGGGTGCCTTCTCATGACACCTGTCGATCACCTACATGAGGAAGCAAAGGTCTTACCGGTGCGACAGCATAACAAAATTCTGTCAATGCAATACCTGCTTGGGTGTTATAGACAAAGCCATCCGAATCGCTATCTTGTGGATAGGCAACCTCCTCCTTCATGATCCAGAGGGAGAGGTACAGAGAGAGAGCCTCTAGATCAACAGGCCTATTCAGCGGGACTGAATAATACTCACTCCAATGCGATCTCAGAAGCCCTTCAAGGATATAGAGCGAATACTGTGCTAGGAGACCATCCCCCTCCCGTCGCAGCTGAAGAACGAGAGCTGCCCCGTCAAAGCCGAGTAGTTTTGTCTCAATTACGATCAGGATGGTGCAGCCGCCTAAATTCTTATTGGGCCCGGATTAACAGCTGGCGATGTGCAGCAGACCTGCCCAGCTTGTGGCATAGGCTCACATGACACGCTGCACCCATTTTGGCTGCCCAGCCAAGCCTACTCACCTAACTCCAGTCTCGTTATGGACACAACCCATACAGGTTGTATCCTTTTTGAGACGGCACTTAGAGGCAGATCCTGATTGAATGGAGTCAGAAAAATGGAAACCGAACGAACGCAGATGTATGAGCTGCTACAATAACAACAACAACCCTTACCACTAACTAAACTTATATCATCAATTAACAGACCCTTGATTCTGCCAAATTTTTTTTGGCAACAGCCAACGATCCGAACTCAATTTTTTCATTTTGGATTCCACCGTTTCATTTGCATATCTCCCCTAGAGGAGAGGAGAATTTTTAATATTTAAATACTCAATTATGATATCGAGGGGTGACATCATGTACACACACCCCGGGGGGACCTCTTAACAGCCAATCATTAAAACTAATGGATGAAGGTAATTTCAATAAAACTGTTCGGTTCTCTTAGTTATACGTTTCACTTCCGTGCGAGCTGTTCGAGTTATGGTTGAATTTTTAACGATTTATTACTACACCAGCCTGGTGGTGGGTTTGACAAATTTACGCTACGATGGCGGAACTCAAATTGTCGAGCTCTACCATTGGCCCACAATTGTGTATTCGGCGGTATTGAATCTGGTTTTCATAATGCTCCAACCCATCTCCATGTTACACTCCAGCCGGGTGTCCTTGAACTGTGACGAATTCGGTGCCCTAGTGGTAATAAAACTGCTAAGTGGCATTGCATACTTTTTGGCGTATTTTTCGATTATGTGCATGTCTTGGCTAAAACGGAAAAAAATACATCAGCTGTACTACAAATATTTGGCTCTGACTCGGCGCTATTTCACCGAGACCATGCTGTTGGATAACTACGAAGCTGTGCAACGGGCCCAGCGTATATTTCTCAAGAAATTCTGTTCATCCGTGTGCAAGGCCATTGTGGTCTATGTGAATATCTATCACTACTACACCGAGTCACCCTGTGAATATGTGAAGAGTTTACCCTATGTGGCGATAAGTTTGTACTATGGCCTCCTGAATGTGCAACAGCTGATTGTGGATGTAAATGTGATATTGGGTCTGCTGCTCATCGATTTGTGTCTCAGCATGTTGAGTCATACCTTGGAGGAAATCGAACGTGACATTTGGCTAATGGCCAAGGCGCGAAAGGTCCAAGAGAATATTTTTCTAAAAAATCAACAGATGTTACATCGAAAATGGCGTGGTAATTTAAATCGCACCGTGGAGGCTATTGCCGCTGAGGTAATGCATCTGCAGAGCTTGACGCATGAGCATTTGGATATCTATGAAATTCCGGTGCTATTTTTGTTGCTGGCCGTCTTCATCAGTCTCATTACCATGATGTTTAACATCATGGCCTATGTTGCGGATTTTGGAAATGTTCAACCTTTGAAGTTGTCGTTTTACGTTTTTATTTTGCTGGCGAACATTAGCAATGTCATGATATTCTATAACATCTGTGAATCGCTGCAGAGGACATATGCACGCATGGTCAATCAGGTTTATCGTATTGGAATCTATGCCTCACTGGGCAGTGGAGGTTATGTGGAAAGGGATACGTTGGTGTTGAGTGTAAGGGATTCGAAAAGAAAAAAAAAATCTACAAAAAATATTGGAAAGTCAATTCAGCAAAGTTTTTTTTCAGGGTAGAATTAAAAAGGTAGCCCTATGTAAACATATCTTCAAAATTTTTATACCCTCCACCATAGGATGGAGGGTTGGGTTTATACAATTTTACTGAAATGTATATTATGGCTGCAGGATGTTTGGAATTGGAAATGGGCCATGTAGCTGCACGTTTAGGTATAGGTCCCCATATAATTGTACCTCCCGATATTCGGTATTTTGATGATTTTAGCGGCATTATTAAACGGAATTGTTTCCAATTTGGTATTTAAAGTTCGCAACTGATACTAGAGCCTATGGCAGAAAATTGTCAGTGCAGGTCCAGGTCTTCGCATAGCCCCCACATAACGACACCTCCGGATATTCGGTATTTTGATGAAATTAGAGACATTATTCACCGGAATTGTTTCAAATTTGGCATTTGAAGTTCGTAATGGATACCACAGCCCAAGACAGAAAATTGTCCGTGCAGGTGCACGCCTTCGTATAGCCTCCATATAACTGTACCTCCCGATATTCGGTATTTTGATGATTCTAGCGACATTATTCATCGGAATTGTTTCAAATTTGTTATTTGAAGTTCGTAATGGATACTACAGCCTATGACAGAAAATTGTCTATGCAGGTCCACTTCTTCGTATAGCCGCCATATAACGGTACCTCCCGATATTCGGTATTTTGATGATTTTGGCGCCATTATTCACCGGAATTGTTTCAAATTTGGTATTTGAAGCTCGCAATGGATATTGAAGCCTAAGACAGAAAATTGTCTGTGCAGGTCCACGTCTTCGTATAGCCCCCATATAATAGTACCTCCCGATATTCGGTATTTTGGTGATTTTAGCGACATTATTCACCGGAATTGTTTCAAATTTGGTATTTGAAGTTCGCAATGGATACTACAGCCTGTGACAGAAAATTGTCTCTGCAGGTCGACGTCTTTGTATAGGTTTCCTATAATGGGACCTCCCTATATTCGGTATTTTGATGATTTAAGCGACATTATTCATCGGAAATGTCTCAAATTTGGTATTTCAAGTTCGCAATGGATACTACAGCCTGTGACAGAAAATTGTCTGTGCAGGTCCACGCCTTCGTATAGGCCCCTTATATAAGTACATCCCAATTTTCGGTATTTTGGTGATTTAAGAGACATTATTCACCGGAATTGTTTCCAATTTGATATTTGAAGTTCGTAATGGATACTACAGCCTAAGACAGAAAATTGTCTATGTAGGTCCACGTCTTCCTATAGCCCCCATATAATGGCACCTCCCGATATTCGGTATATTGGTGATTTCGGCGACATTAATCACCAGAATTGTTTCAAATTTGGTATTTAAAGTTCGTAATGGATACTAGAGCCTATGACAGAAAATTGTCCTGGCAGGTTCACGTCTTCGTATAGCCTCCAGATAATGGTACTTCTCGATATTCGGTATTTTGATGATTATTCACCGATTTTTTCTCAAGTTTCGCATTTGAATATTTTAATGGCTTATGACAAAAGTTGCCTATGCAGGTCCACGTCGTTAAAAAAAACTCTGCTGAATTGACTTTTTTATAAAAAAAACTCATGGTAGAATAACAAAGGTAGCCTCATGCAATCATGGAAATACAACTCTTTTATTTGGTGTCTATTTATTGTCAAAATTTATATTTTGTAGTTCTTCCTTAGATATGGACGTACGACTGGCAAGAAATTTACATTTACGGGGAGAAATGAAAAAACTGCAACCAATTTCAGACTCCTGTCATTTCTAAACCACTCGTCCGACAGCTGTTAAAATTATTCCAGTGACAGCTCATTATATTGTTTACAAGCGCACAGAAGTTTTGGTGAGAATTTTCGAGAAAAAAAAAAACTTATTCGTGATAGAATTCAAGCGTGATGTTGTGATTTCTTTATATTTGGCTGGAGAACCACCAAAAGTGGCTATCGTTAGAACAATCCAGCATTTAAATGTGAATAAATCTTTTGTGTCTCATACCATCGCTAGTTACCGTGATGCCTGGTAGCGTAGCCCGACGATGTCAAGGAAGTGGACGGAAGAATATCAACAGCAACATCAGCAGAAATGGTTGGGAAAATAAAAAAGCGACTTGATCGAAACCCGCGTCGCAGTGGCCGAAAATGGCAATATTTCATTCGTCAAATATTAAAAAATGAGCTCGGGGTAAAGCCATTGAAATTCCAAAATGTGCTAGAACTTACACCGCAATAAAAAGAAAATAGACGACTCAAAAGAGCTAAAGACTTGCTTCGCTTGGCCGAAAGTGGTGAACTGACGAAATTGGTTTTCTCCGATGAGAAAACATTCGTTGTCCAGCAGTTGGAAACAAACAAAATGCTCGGGTTTACTTGCCAAAGAGGTCATCTGAGGCAGCTTGGCCACCAGAACTCAAGCGCCGGCCATGGTGAGTGAGGCTGAGGGCCGCTATAACATCAGATGGTCGCTTTCCGCTCGTATTAAGCGACTATGGCATCAGAATAAATGCCGAATATTATCGCGAAAGTATTCTGAAGGGGATGTTATAAAGCCGTAGGCACGCAAACATTTTGGCCGCAGGACTCAGCACCATCACACTCAGCACGCGCCATCCAAGAATGGTTACAAATTGAGGGTTCTCGCATCATTTCCATTGCACAATGGCCATCAACGTAAATGTTGAATATTATCGCAAAAATATTCTGGAGGGTGTATTAAAGCCTTGGGCAGCCAAACATTTTGGCCGCAGGGTTCAGCACCATCACACCCAGCACGCGCCACCCAAGAATGGTTACAAAATGAGGTTCCTCGCTTTATTTCTAGCGCACCATGGCCACCAATATAAATGCCGAATATTATCGTGAAAATATTCTGAAGGGGGTGTTATAAAGCCTTGGGCACCCAAGCATTTTTGCCGCAGACCTTGGACATTCCAACAGGACTCAGCTGCATCGCTCTCAGCACACGCCATCCAAGAATGGTTACAAAATGAGGTTCCTCGTTTCTTCATTTCCAGCGTACAATGGCCACCACAAAATCTCCGGATACCAATCCGTTTGACTATTCTGTCTGGAGTTATTTTGGAAAGCAGGGTTGACACTAAACCAAATACCAAAAAAATACCCCCATACATTGCAGCTGAAGAACGTCAGCGCAATTACGTTCAGGATGGTGTAGTCGTCTCAATTCGTATTGGGCACGAATTGATGAAGATGTGCGTGACGCCTGCCCGCCGTGCGATACAGGCCCGCACAATACGCTACACCTTTTTAATTGCTCAGCCAAACCAATCCAACTCACTCCAGAAGATCTCTGGCTACAGCCCGTTAAAGTAGCCGAATTTCTAAACCTGGAGCTGGAACCAGATTAGCAGAACGCAAATACATACATGTACTACTGCTACAACAACAACAACAACCAAAGTGTCGATCACCTTAAGCAAGCGCTTCGCCGTGCCATGGGCCAAAATACCGCAGAACAACATTCGGGCAGGCAACGTGTGACGTGGTTTCATTGGCTGTTTGGAGGCCATAATTCCTGCCAAAGTTGACCAATTCGAATAAATCTAAATTTATTCTAAAATTTGATGCTATTTCCGACATTTTTGCTTTCATTCCAAAAAAATTAAAGAAAAAAAAAAAAAAAGAAAAAATTAAAAAAAAAGCGATCAAATAAAATATGCCACTTGTCATACGTAAATATTTAAGATATTAAAATATTTTTTTGCTTTTTTACTTTTTAGCAAATGAGACTACCTCTATTGTTCTGCCATGGAATAAAAAAACTTTGCTAAAATATTTTTTCTTTTTTTTAAAAATTGTACCACATCATTTGATTTCTTTGCAGTTGGAAATGCTCCTAATGCAGCTGCGCTATCGTGAGTTCCGTGTGACTGTGTGTGGACTATTTGAAATTCGCAACCGAACCGGCATGATAATGATACATAAAATTGTCCTAAATCTAATGTATCTCATACAAAGTGTTGTGCAAAGTATTGCCTAGAAAAAAATACTAGAAAAAAATTTAAACAAATTAATTAATAAACCTAACCTAAAAGTTGCTAAATTTCTTTTAAATTAGTTTTAACCACAAATTCTGGTTCCTTTTCTTCAAGTTTTCCTAAATATTTACAAATATTTAACCACAAAGTTTTCCCCAGCCACAAGATAACCGTATACTTTGATGCTTCTTCTTCTTCTTGTTCTTGTTATCTAATGTCTGTGAAATGTTAGCCTAGAACCCAGACATTCAATAACAAAGAAAAAAAGAACAACAACAATAATAAAAATTTTTTGTGTAAATTATCTTCTTTATTTAAAATTCATATGAATGTCTGTGGTCATTGCAGGAGCTCTTGAAATGATTCGATGACTATTTCCTCCCTCCCTCCCACTGCCCATAACCTCAAAATTTTCATTTGCATGTTTTATGATTCATATTTGCATGGATGGTTTTTGTGTTGGTGTACGACGAGTGGGTGGGCAGTCAGACTGTCATTGAGTCAGTCACTTTCAAAAACAAAGGCATTCAAGAAAAGTTTCCAATGACTTTTTTGCTGGGGTAATTTGTAGCAATACCTTTTTGTGTCGGATATGTAGGTTAACATATATAAAGGGTGAGATGAAAAAAAATTGCAACATTTTAAAGTTTTCATTAATTCGTACCTAAAAAAGTGATCACAAATAATAGCTAAAAACGCCGAAAACTCAATATTTAAGGAGTTATGGCCATTTTAAAGTTTTCATTAATTCGTAGCTAAAAAAGTGATCACAAATAATAGCTAAAAACGCCGAAAACTCAATATTTAAGGAGTTATGGCCATTTTAAAGTTTTCATTAATTCGTAGCTAAAAAAGTGATCCCAAATAATAGCTAAAAACGCCGAAAACTCAATATTTAAGGAGTTATGGCCATTTTAAAGTTTTCATTAATTCGTACCTAAAAAAGTGATCACAAATAATAGCTAAAAACGCCGAAAACTCAATATTTAAGGAGTTATGGCCATTTTAAAGTTTTCATTAATTCACTCCTAAAAAAGTGATCCCAAATAATAGCTAAAAATGCCGAAAACTCAATATTTAAGGAGTTATGGCCATTTTAAAGTTTCTATTAATTCACTCTTAAAAAAGTGATCACAAATAATAGCTAAAAACGCCGAAAACTCAATATTTAAGGAGTTATGGCCATTTTAAAGTTTTCATTAATTCGTACCTAAAAAAGTGATCACAAATAATAGCTAAAAACGCCGAAAACTCAATATTTAAGGAGTTATGGCCATTTTAAAGTTTTCATTAATTCACTCCTAAAAAAGTGATCCCAAATAATAGCTAAAAATGCCGAAAACTCAATATTTAAGGAGTTATGGCCATTTTAAAGTTTCTATTAATTCACTCTTAAAAAAGTGATCACAAATAATAGCTAAAAACGCCGAAAACTCAATATTTAAGGAGTTATGGCCATTTTAAAGTTTTCATTAATTCGTACCTAAAAAAGTGATCACAAATAATAGCTAAAAACGCCGAAAACTCAATATTTAAGGAGTTATGGCCATTTTAAAGTTTTCATTAATTCACTCCTAAAAAAGTGATCCCAAATAATAGCTAAAAATGCCGAAAACTCAATATTTAAGGAGTTATGGCCATTTTAAAGTTTCTATTAATTCACTCTTAAAAAAGTGATCACAAATAATAGCTAAAAACGCCGAAAACTCAATATTTAAGGAGTTATGGCCATTTTAAAGTTTTCATTAATTCGTACCTAAAAAAGTGATCACAAATAATAGCTAAAAACGCCGAAAACTCAATATTTAAGGAGTTATGGCCATTTTAAAGTTTTCATTAATTCGTACCTAAAAAAGTGATCACAAATAATAGCTAAAAACGCCGAAAACTCAATATTTAAGGAGTTATGGCCATTTTAAAGTTTTCATTAATTCACTCCTAAAAAAGTGATCCCAAATAATAGCTAAAAATGCCGAAAACTCAATATTTAAGGAGTTATGGCCATTTTAAAGTTTCTATTAATTCACTCTTAAAAAAGTGATCACAAATAATAGCTAAAAACGCCGAAAACTCAATATTTAAGGAGTTATGGCCATTTTAAAGTTTTCATTAATTCGTACCTAAAAAAGTGATCACAAATAATAGCTAAAAACGCCGAAAACTCAATATTTAAGGAGTTATGGCCATTTTAAAGTTTTCATTAATTCGTACCTAAAAAAGTGATCACAAATAATAGCTAAAAACGCCGAAAACTCAATATTTAAGGAGTTATGGCCATTTTAAAGTTTTCATTAATTCGTACCTAAAAAGTGATCACAAATAATAGCTAAAAATGCCGAAAACTCAATATTTAAGGAGTTATGGCCATTTTAAAGTTTCTATTAATTCACTCTTAAAAAAGTGATCACAAATAATAGCTAAAAACGCCGAAAACTCAATATTTAAGGAGTTATGGCCATTTTAAAGTTTTCATTAATTCGTACCTAAAAAAGTGATCACAAATAATAGCTAAAAACGCCGAAAACTCAATATTTAAGGAGTTATGGCCATTTTAAAGTTTTCATTAATTCACTCCTAAAAAAGTGATCCCAAATAATAGCTAAAAATGCCGAAAACTCAATATTTAAGGAGTTATGGCCATTTTAAAGTTTCTATTAATTCACTCTTAAAAAAGTGATCACAAATAATAGCTAAAAACGCCGAAAACTCAATATTTAAGGAGTTATGGCCATTTTAAAGTTTTCATTAATTCGTACCTAAAAAAGTGATCACAAATAATAGCTAAAAACGCCGAAAACTCAATATTTAAGGAGTTATGGCCATTTTAAAGTTTTCATTAATTCACTCCTAAAAAACTGATCCCAAATAATAGCTAAAAACGCCGAAAACTCAATATTTAAGGAGTTATGGCCATTTTAAAGTTTTCATTAATTCGTAGCTAAAAAAGTGATCACAAATAATAGCTAAAAACGCCGAAAACTCAATATTTAAGGAGTTATGGCCATTTTAAAGTTTTCATTAATTCGTACCTAAAAAAGTGATCACAAATAATAGCTAAAAACGCCGAAAACTCAATATTTAAGAAGTTATGGCCATTTTAAAGTTTTCATTAATTCGTACCTAAAAAAGTGATCACAAATAATAGCTAAAAACGCCGAAAACTCAATATTTAAGGAGTTATGGCCATTTTAAAGTTTTCATTAATTCACTCCTAAAAAAGTGATCCCAAATAATAGCTAAAACGCCGAAAACTCAATATTTAAGGAGTTATGGCCATTTTAAAGTTTTCATTAATTCGTACCTAAAAAAGTGATCACAAATAATAGCTAAAAACGCCGAAAACTCAATATTTAAGGAGTTATGGCCATTTTAAAGTTTTCATTAATTCACTCCTAAAAAAGTGATCCCAAATAATAGCTAAAAATGCCGAAAACTCAATATTTAAGGAGTTATGGCCATTTTAAAGTTTCTATTAATTCACTCTTAAAAAAGTGATCACAAATAATAGCTAAAAACGCCGAAAACTCAATATTTAAGGAGTTATGGCCATTTTAAAGTTTTCATTAATTCGTACCTAAAAAGTGATCACAAATAATAGCTAAAAATGCCGAAAACTCAATATTTAAGGAGTTATGGCCATTTTAAAGTTTCTATTAATTCACTCTTAAAAAAGTGATCACAAATAATAGCTAAAAACGCCGAAAACTCAATATTTAAGGAGTTATGGCCATTTTAAAGTTTTCATTAATTCGTACCTAAAAAAGTGATCACAAATAATAGCTAAAAACGCCGAAAACTCAATATTTAAGGAGTTATGGCCATTTTAAAGTTTTCATTAATTCGTAGCTAAAAAAGTGATCACAAATAATAGCTAAAAACGCCGAAAACTCAATATTTAAGGAGTTATGGCCATTTTAAAGTTTTCATTAATTCACTCCTAAAAAAGTGATCCCAAATAATAGCTAAAAACGCCGAAAACTCAATATTTAAGGAGTTATGGCCATTTTAAAGTTTTCATTAATTCGTACCTAAAAAAGTGATCACAAATAATAGCTAAAAACGCCGAAAACTCAATATTTAAGGAGTTATGGCCATTTTAAAGTTTTCATTAATTCACTCCTAAAAAAGTGATCCCAAATAATAGCTAAAAATGCCGAAAACTCAATATTTAAGGAGTTATGGCCATTTTAAAGTTTCTATTAATTCACTCTTAAAAAAGTGATCACAAATAATAGCTAAAAACGCCGAAAACTCAATATTTAAGGAGTTATGGCCATTTTAAAGTTTTCATTAATTCGTACCTAAAAAGTGATCACAAATAATAGCTAAAAACGCCGAAAACTCAATATTTAAGGAGTTATGGCCATTTTAAAGTTTTCATTAATTCGTACCTAAAAAAGTGATCACAAATAATAGCTAAAAACGCCGAAAACTCAATATTTAAGGAGTTATGGCCATTTTAAAGTTTTCATTAATTCGTACCTAAAAAAGTGATCACAAATAATAGCTAAAAACGCCGAAAACTCAATATTTAAGGAGTTATGGCCATTTTAAAGTTTTCATTAATTCGTACCTAAAAAAGTGATCACAAATAATAGCTAAAAACGCCGAAAACTCAATATTTAAGGAGTTATGGCCATTTTAAAGTTTTCATTAATTCGTACCTAAAAAAGTGATCACAAATAATAGCTAAAAACGCCGAAAACTCAATATTTAAGGAGTTATGGCCATTTTAAAGTTTTCATTAATTCGTACCTAAAAAGTGATCACAAATAATAGCTAAAAACGCCGAAAACTCAATATTTAAGGAGTTATGGCCATTTTAAAGTTTTCATTAATTCGTACCTAAAAAAGTGATCACAAATAATAGCTAAAAACGCCGAAAACTCAATATTTAAGGAGTTATGGCCATTTTAAAGTTTTCATTAATTCGTACCTAAAAAAGTGATCACAAATATAGCTAAAAACGCCGAAAACTCAATATTTAAGGAGTTATGGCCAT